ACATATTAAAATCGTTGCTCCAACTAAAGATAAGTTTCTCTATTATAACCGCAAAGGATACTTTAGTATCAATGCCATGATTGTAAGTTTGGTGACAAATTCGCATTTCAAACATCTTAATCAATGTTTTGCAGATATGTGACAATAAAATGAAAATACGTTATGTGAATGCACAGTTTCCTGGCAGCAATCACGATTCCCACATATGGAATGACAGCAATGCTCGATATTTTCATGAGAAAAAGTACCTCGATGGTGAACGAAACACTTGGCTTTTGGGTATTATACATACAAACATATATATTACAAAAATTTCCAAAATTTAATATTTGTATAGGAGATGCTGGATATGCCTTAGAACCATGGTTAATGACACCATTCCGTACCCCTCCCTCATCAAGCCCAGAAGAGAAATATAATAAAATACATGCAAAAGCGAGAAATATCGTTGAAAGAACCGTAGGAGTTTTTAAAAATCGATTTAGACGAGCTTCACTACGAGCCATGGAAGGCATCTCAAATCGTTAATGTTGCGGCAGCGTTACACAACGTTTGCATTCACTATCGCGTGAATGATGAAAGTTTAGAAAATAATTCGGAACCAGAACCAAATATTTTTACAGAAAGTAATGAAATTGCTTCATTAACTTATAATGATGCAGCTTCACAAATCAGAGAAACTATATGTGCAACACTTACACGAGTATAATATCCTAAATAAATATTAACACAAAATATTTATAGTTTTCATTCAGTATTTATTTAATTCATTTAATTATTTTTCGTCATGGCTTGCAACTTTTGTTCTTCTACCTCTAATATTTGCTGTTTAATTAAATTTTTAGCAGCTACCAAATTTACCATAGCTATGTTGTGTCTTTTAAATTCTTCAATTTCCGCTTTTTTTTTAAATCATTTTGCATTTCCAATGCTCTGCCTACTCGTCGCTTACGTAATGAAAGGTCGTCCAACTTGTCGAGAACCTTTTCCTGGAATTCTTTTTGAATATCAAGTTGTTCTTTTAATAAATCGGCTGTACTTTTTTCCGGTGGCCTAGTAGTACGTCTAGGCAGTGCTGGACTGCAGGTCGCTGATGGCATCGATACGTCCGCCTCTGTCTCATTGCCCACGTCTGCTATAATAGGTAAGCCGATGCTTACTGTATTCGCAATACCACTTGTACTGGTTTCCAATGCCGTTACTGCTATCACCGCTTCTTCCAATTCATTGAAATGGTGCTGCCTATTTCTGCCGCCACCAGTAGCTGACTGCTCCTTTTTATTCTCAACCAATTTCCTTTTAATGTAAGCCTTCCAGTCAAGCCATACCTAATAAAAAATAAGTCAATCAAGCTTTAAATTATCCTGTAACAACAATAAAATCTACAAATTTATTATATTACCTTCTTCTAGCTGGAAATATCCTTGATAGGCGGACCAACACTGTTGAGCTCCTGGGCCATGTTGTTCCAAAAAGCTGCCACTTCTTCTTTTGGGCACTTGGTAAAACCCTGCGCCATTTCTGGTTTTTGCTGTAACAGCTCAATCATTAGTGCATATTGTTGCTTTGTGGTAATTACTTTGGACCTGCGGAAATCGGATTAAATATTATTTTAATGATAAAAACTATGTTATAGTTTGATTTAAATATTATTTTGATGATAAAAAATATGTTATAGTTTGAATTCAATTAAAACTTACATTTTTATTTTTTAAAATTTTTTTTCTCCGTTAGCACAAACCTGTCGTACAAAAATTCCGCTAAACTTAAAAATTTTCCGTTCCGAGTGAATTCAGTGAATGCAACTCTACGAATTTCGAACTTACTTTCCGAACTGTTCGAATTGCATGATAGCAGTTTCGTAACTTTCCCGAAAAAACAGTCTACGATGGATTGCATGATAGAGCTGAATGTCGAAAATGTTTAATCGAGTTGACAACGGCCAAAGTCTCCAGCTCATATGAATGATATCTGGATTCCGCAGAAGACGTTCGTTTACTATAATATTCAATACCATGTGGCTTGTTGTTAATTTTATGCAAAAGAATGGCACCGTATCCATCCGCACTAACATCTCTATGCAATTCGATTGGATATTGCGGATCAAAAATGGTCAAAACTGGTTTATTTGTCAAGACAGAAACTATTTTCTGTCGTATCTGTTCATGCTCTGCCTTCCAAGTAAAATTGTTTTTACTAGAAACAAGGAAGTACAGTGGTGGTTTCATTACTTGTGAAAACTGCAAAAATACGAAGCCAACCCTATTAATTGTGTCAACTGGTGAACAGATTTAGGTGGTGGTAAAGCTGTCAAGGCTTGAATTTTACGCGGATTAGGTCGAATTACTCCAGCTTTAATTTCATATCCAGTTTATTCAACACTTGATTTTAGAAAAGAACATTTATTAACATTAAACAAAAACCCGGCCTTTGTCAAAACATCCAAGACCACCTTCAACCTTTCAAACGCTTCTTATTTTGTTGACGAAATAATCATAATGTCATCCATAAAAATTAAAAATGTATCAATTGAAAATGTATGCTGTGATCAACTTTATTGGCCAGGACGTGTGCTTCACAGTTGTTGACCGCCAGAATTCCGCTCTTGCACTCGACCACTGTATTTTCGTTGTTTTGCAGCACGACGCCGTTGTGTACCACCTGAAAAATCAAAACTTTTCTACACAAAAACTTAATTCTAGGATATTTGATTATAAAATGAATTACATCATTGTGCTGAATAACTTTAACGGTTGACACTTCCATTAGTTCAGTGATTGCTATATCTGTGATTGGCCCAACCAATATGGATTTCAAACCCTCTTCATCAATGATTACTGGATTTACTACCATTATTTTCGCAAGGGTTATTGCGAGCATTATATTCTGAATTTCCGTGATCATAATCCTATTTCGAGTAAGTATAATTTCATAAAGATGCGCCGTATCGATTTTTTTATTCTTCGCTTCTTTGAGGAGTTCATTTACCGTACTGTTCCTGTGTCTTTGTGTTAATCGCTACCTGTCTATTGTTGGATTCTATTAGTTGGACTTCTGTCATTTTAACTTGGTGGAAATCGTCAGCGTCTGGGGTACCTGTGATAAATTTAAGGGCTGAACCCAAAAGTGTAGGCTTCTCGCCATTCTAGCCATCTATGATGTACGCTTATAGCGGCTAGTAATGTTCTAACATGTCCATTGTCAGTCTCTAGCAACTTTCGCATGTGCGACTGCGGGAACAGGTCCGTCATGTTGGCAGTTTCGACTGTCATGCTCATAAACTCGGTCAAATTAGTTGAGTGCCTCAGGTAATTGTATTCGTTCCATACTAGTGCGTCGCCGTCCACTACCGGTATGTAATGCGAGTGTGAGTAATCCGTTAATTTGGCTGCCGCTATCCCGAAAGTGAGAAGTATTGTGATTGAAAACCTAAAGAAGCAATATAAGGTGATTGGAAATTAATGTGGTCATTTTCTAAGGCTAAGTACTTTATCTAAGGTTGTCCTTATGGACTATCCTTCCATTTATTAGGACAGTTGTCTCCAGATCTGCCTCTACTCTCCTCTCCTCACACAGGGGGTTGATTTGTTCCCTAACCTTCTATTAGTTTTTACCATTACCTTTTCTCCCACTTCAAAGACCATGTTCTGCCTTGACGGGTTATTTCTATGGAGCTGAGCCTGTTGTGCTTGTTCAATTTTTCCTTTCACTGCCTTTCGGAATTCTTCGGTTGAGGCGGTAATACTCTATTACTATTTCCCTTTGTTTTTGCAGTACCAGAATTTGGTAGATGGAAAGCATATTACCAATTCGTGTTGTATGTTGATAGCTCGCAGTGAATCGCGTTCACCGCGAGGGGGTTAATAACCTCCTTTACTTCGTCAATGAGGCTGTTTCTATCCCTGAAGTGAATAACGTGGCGTGGTTTTCCGCCAAAGAGTATAAAATTTCTTTTCAGAGGAAAACGCGACTCTTTCAAAACTATCTGATTCCTGAAGCAGTTTATGGGTTTTTCTGTTGCTTCGACCGTGTAGATCAGTGACAATTCACTGTGAACTGTCGCCGCGTTAGATTTGAGTTCGCTCTCCAACACATTTATGTTCTGCCAGGAGAGAGCATCTGCGACAGAGTCTTTCTTACCAGGTTTATAATGAATTTTAGCATTATGTTCGCCTTCCACCGCCTTAACCGCAAACGTTAGAGGCTGATGGTCTGTATAGATGTTGATATCCCTAGTTCCGTTTTGAAGTTTTCCTAAAGCCATTAATCTTCAGATGCCAGGATGTTTCTTAATCTTTCGAAGACATTGCGTTGCGCTTCACTAAAATCAATGGGTACCCTTGTGTTTTACTTGTTTACTTATTGAGCCCTTTTCATCTTTTAGGATCTCAGTTAGAGGTCTTGCTATGGAGGCGAAATCTTTTACGAAACACCTGTAACAGCTTGCTAGCCCTAGAAAGATCTGAGGCTGGACAAATCCTTAGGTTCAGGATATTCCTGAACGGCTTTGACCTTTGCGGGGTCAGTTTTTGCCCCACCTCTTGTTACTATGAAACCGAGATATTCCACAC